CCTGATGACGATCGCTTGTGTTGCGGTCGAAACGTCGTGATTGATTTGTTTTAATATAATTTTATGGTATCCTACATATGTGACTTTACCGAAAAAACCAATGAGTAATTTACGCAGTCACGAAAGCTTTAATTCTTTATTAGACTATTCTAACCTCAGTTTCTCAATGGTGTTCTTAGAGATTACACCAAAAGCCACTCAATCCACCTCTAGAGGGTAGACGCGCCGCTGGCCATCAGAAGCCTTTCCAAACTTGCCCGTAATTTAAAATGCTCAACATTGCCTTGATATTTGCCACCGATTCGTATAGGCGAAAGAAGCCCCACTGTTTGCATGTTGAACTTATTTCACACCGTATGTAGCCAACCGTGCTAATTGGAGGTGTAGGGGAAAGACAACTTAAGTGACCTACAATATTCGTAACAAACGAAACAAGCAGACAAATATGCCCTCATTCACAAGTCTGTCCCTCCACACAAAAAAGCTTTTAATTAATTTATTTTTTGCACAGAAAATGCCACACAACCTTCTGGTAGTGCAGAATTGCTGCAGCATTGGTTTAACATAAGGTTTTGATATCAGTTGTTTCCTCAGCAAAGTCTGGTTTGCCTGAACCGACGGTTTAATAAGACCAACATTCGGGACCTATTTCAACATTCAGTGTCTTATCAGCAAAGTCAGGCTTACTTGAACCAATGCTGGTGGATTGGCAAATGTTTCTAAGCACTTAACATAGCTAGGAATAGCCACACAGAACTGAAGATAATGCATTAGGAAGTTGAATAATTATTTTCCAATTCTGTCATAATGTGAGTAAAAGGTAAAATGAGGGCAGAAGTAAAATGTATAACAGTTATAATTAGTTTAGTGTAAAGAAACAAAAGTATGTACTGTATTTCAGCAGTGCACATGACCAAATTCACCCTCACGGGTCTGAGGAGCAGTTGATTTGATCAAGCCACCTCAAACAGTTCAACAATATATGGTTATTGTATTTTTCCGCACTAGGTTTAAACGTCATGAGCAATTCAAATCTTCTGTTAATGCATAAAATGGGCAGCATCGTACATGGATCGTTGGCCACGCAGTTTAATCTCTTGTTAAAATCGTCAAGAAGTTAAGTCAAAGAATGATAGGTTGACAAAGGGAAAGTAACGTCAACAACTTTCTGACAGCATTCACTACTATTCCGCACCAAGCAAGCGGTTTCAGCAGAAGCTGCAATTAGCTTATTTATTTAAATTTAATTAGCCTGAACTGTACAATTATTGTCCCTGGTCTGTCGTTCTAGATGCCGGCTAAGGTTGCTACTTGTCTGTTGTGCCCTGAGGCTCTTGTGAACCAAACGAAGCGCGATACCATTTTTCCCCCCAAAAGATGCTGTAACTTGGCACAAGTTCCAAACACCACAAAGCGCAAGAAAAATGGGGGCTAAATATCCGTGCAGCTCAACATTAGTGATCGCAACAATGATGAGCTTAGAGCGACCAACACCCTGATCTCTTATAGCCTCACAAAGTCTGGATACAAGCTGGGCGACTGGTGGCTATGCACGCCTGTAATCCAGCACTGTGGAGGTGAGGATTGGCGGATCGCACCAATGTTGTTCAACTCCCTTCCCGTGGGTGTCGAGGTGACATATCCTAGCTTGGAGAGTAAACGCACAACATTCACAATTGGAGTCATCCTTTTTCACAATTCTGGCAAAAATCGCCTGATGAAGCTGGTTGTAATTACCAGTGAAATGTCATATTCAATTTGTAAATGTTGTGGGTTTACTCTCCAACGCGCCGGTGTGCTGAAGTAGTAACTAATTGGCACATTTTCTTTACGTGACAAACCTAAATAATTAGCTGCATCGGGTGGTGGTGGGTTACCAACACGTATATATTTACGAGATCGGACCCAAAAAAAAACATTATTATTAATAATAGTATTAGTCGCATAAGCCTACGTGTTAAATGGACTAATCGCCATCTGCTTCCAACTGTGCAGGGATAGAGTGTTGCCCCTTCGCACACTTGGGGTGTTCCCTGGGTGCTCCGGTTTCCTCCCACTTGTATACACACTCATAAAGGAGCTGAACACATTTTACAAAAAAAATCCAACACAGAGCCCTCATGAGAAAAGAGTCTAAAGACTCATCGTGGCTTTCCTGAATAGATAAGTTGTATCCGGAGGCATGTTACCCTGTATTACTGAACAAATGTAGACAGTTAAGTGCACCAGTGACCGAGCAGAGTACACATATCAATGCACACAGTGTACCTTTGGCATGGAGATCGTACCACCGTGCAAAAGCAAAACGACGAAAGCAGTTTGGTCAGGGATGGGGAGAGCTCTCATCCTGTGACCAAGGGAAGACGATAAAAATAGACCATGCAGCTGTATATTGATTGAGAAACAAGTTGTGAAAAGCAGCTCAAAGCCTCCAGCACAAACTAGGTGAGTTTGCCTGCAGCCGCGCCGACAGCCCTGGGTAATGGGTTCACAATAACAGTTCCGCCAGCGACAGCAAGCAAGCGGCAACAGCAACCCTGCTCCAGCCCCCCAGTCAACCTTTGCTCATTGAGAGGTCACTAATTTTCCTCTGCAGCTCAACATGGTCCAAAAATCGATTTCCCCAGGCTCAGTACCTTTCTCCTTGTGAATGTTTTCCAGCTAAGAGTGAAATAATTAATGTGTATCATCGCTGTCCGTCTGCAACTGGGGTTCACAATAACTCTCAGAGAGATTATCTCATGTAAATTAAACTAAACTATTTTTATTTTGCAAGGTAGAGCCTACTGAGCTAAATAGCTATTTTTTAGAAGTGACCTGGCCACAAATTATAGCTCAACGAAGTGTCTCATCATCATGTGGAAATTTCGATCAGCCAAAATACTTCAAAGCATGTTTCTAAATGTGGAGGGAAAAACTAGAGGACCTGGAGAAATATCCACGCGACCACAGGGAGAACCTGCAAACGCCAAGTATAGAGTCGTCAGGGTCGGAATCAAGCACACGACCTCCTGTATATCAGGTGAGGCAGTTAACATCTCGCCACCGTGGCGCCCCACAGTTATTAAGGGTTAGTATAGTTGTGTTGCTATTAACAAGGCACATTTATTAAAGGGCTAGTGGATATTTGATGAAAACATATTACCATTAACTACATTGATCATTGCAATAGCGTCACCATTGCTGAGGATGAAGACTTGGGCCTACCGCAGTCTCGCCCAGCTCCCATTTAAGGGACGGGCAGTGGCGTTCTTGGCCAGGAAGCCAGGCGAAGCAGGCCTGCTCCAAGAGACCCTAAAGGCCTCAACTGCATTTTTGTCTAAACTTCATAAATTATTTTCCAAGGAGTTGCACTATGACATCATAGGCATGTAACATTATCTTGTTCATAAATATCTTATAAAAGCATCATTCACTAGCCCGTACTGGCCAGTAGTGGCTAGGGCATAATGCTTTTATCACCATCATGTCCTAGGCACTGCTGTACAGTAGTATCAAAATGTCTATCTTGAATGTTTTCTAACACACGTACTCCTCTGCTCGTATTTCAACTCAATTCCAAGCTTCCACGACTCCATCCTTATTTCTAACACTTTCCATTTATGTTGCACACTTTATATTTTCTTCGTTAATGTCTACGTTTCTGATCAATGTAATTCCAGGTTATATGCATTCATTAAAATAAATACTTGCCATCACAAAGGCATGTCGGAAAGCGTTACATGATTCGTGCATATCATATGCATTAAATATATTCCTTGTTTGTTGTCCACGATTGATAGCCTCTACAACTAAAATAAACTATTTTTATTTTACCAAGTAAGGCCCACTTAGCTATATAGCTCTTTTTCAGAAGCGACCTGGCTATCACAAACGACAGCTCAACAAAGTGGCTCGTCCAGTTGAAATTTATAGCGGCCAAATACTCTAAACGCGTGTTTGTAAATGTGGAGGTAAAAACCGGAGGACCCGGAGAAAACTCCACGCGACTACGGGGACGAACACGCAAACTCTAAATACACAGGTGTCTGGGTCGGAATCGAACCCACGACTTCTTGTATAACAAGCGAGGTTGTTAACATCTCGCCACCGTGGCACCCTCAATAAAACATGCAGCTTCTTTCTGCACTGCGTCGTGAGACGGCAGGGCTTGCATGTGGGCGATTACACGAAGGTTCAATTCCCGACTTGGGCGCCTGGTGTGGTGGAGTTGATACGTCCTCCCCCCAGTTCTATAAAGGGTTTCCCCTCTGGGTTCTCAGCTTTCCTCCAAAAGCTAATACGAATTAACAAAACGAGCTTGGCCAAAACGTAGCAATGCTGAAAGGTTGCCTACAAATTACTTAATGGGGATTTACGGAAAGTAGCGGCATCACCCTCGCCACACTGAACATGGCAAACGCTCGACAGCTCATGAGCTCCGAGACCCTGGGTCAAAAAACAAGTGGGGGTGTGGAGCGGGGGTGTGGAGGGGGGGGTCGGAGGGGGGGGGTTGGAGGGGGGGGGGGTCGGAGGGGGGGGGGGGGTCGGAGGGGGGGGGTCGGAGGGGGGGTGTCGGAGGGGGGGTGTCGGGGGGGGGGGTTTCGGGGGGAGGGTGTCGGGGGGGTGTCGCGGGGAGGGTGTCGGGGGGGTCTAGGGTTTGTGGGCCAAAGCGCCGCGCAGTTGTAGAAGCTCCCTTCCTGCTCTCTCGCGTTGGCTGTTGGGGTTCCAGGTCCTTGCCCGGGGTCCGTGATTCTAGGCGAGTGGCGTTCTGCGTCTCTGCTTCCAAGGTCCCGTGTACCCTCTCCCTCCTGCTCGGTGGCCCCGCGTGCCTTGGGCCCTGGGTGCCGCTCGAGGTGCCCGGTCTTTGTCCGCCGCGAGCGGCCCGCGCGTCAGGCCCGGTGCCCCGCGCACTGCCGCCACCGCGAGCGCGGCCCAGCGGCCTCGAGTGTACGGCCTAAGGGGAGGGGGGGGTCCGAACGAGGGGAGCAAGGAGCGGGGAGCGCGGTATGACTACTCACTCTTTTGAGTCGCGGCGCGGCCTCTCAATGAGCGCGGACAATGGGGTTCCCGAAGCAGGGCCGCGGTGGCGGTGACGTCGCCCGCGCCGCCCTCTCACCCCGAGTGACGTCATGCGCTCCGCGCTGTTACCCCAGTGGCGATCACGTCACCCGCGCCGCGCTCACACATCGTGACGTCAACCGCTCGTGCTCTCATCCATCGTGACGTCATCGGCTCCGTGCACTCACTCCGCGTGACGTCATCTCCGTGCACTCACCCAGAGTGACGTCACCCGCTCCATGCAGTCACCGAGCGTGACGTTACCGGCTCCGAGCTATCACCTAGCATGACGTCAGCCACCCCGTGCTCTCACCTAGCGTGACATCATCCACTCCGTGCTGGTGGTTGTGGTGGTTGTTGTGGTGGTGGTTGTTGTGGTGGTGGTTGTGGTGGTTGTTGTTGTGGTGGTTGTTGTGGTGGTGGTTGTTGTGGTGGTGGTTGTTGTGGTGGTTGTGGTGGTGGTTGTTGTGGTGGTTGTTGTGGTGGTGGTGGTTGTTGTGGTGGTGGTTGTTGTGGTGGTGGTTGTTGTGGTGGTGGTTGTGGTTGTTGTGGTGGTGGTTGTTGTGGTGGTGGTTGTTTACCGAGGTAGAGCCAACAGCCTCGTCACGAAAACCAACAATATCACCACTGATTTAACCTATCTACGTGACTTTACCGAAGACCCAAATAATATAAATTCATGCAGTCACGAAAGCTTTAAGTCAAGCCTTGTATTCGGTGTTGACAAATCCGCAGGACTATGCATATAGGCACACACCCAGGGATAGATAATAATACACACACTGACCTATAGATAAAAATACACTCACAGACCCATAGATAATAATACACACACAGACCCATATATACATTTGAATCGATTGGCGGTGACCCGGGGGTGCCAAAACCTTAATAACTCCAAAACCAGAAGGCCGATGAAGACGGGAGATGTCACCGAGCCCGATACGCACGCCAAATATGGAAATAAAAAACACACGCAAAACACCCATAAAAAGGGGGGGCTGCTGGGGATTTGTGCGTGGCAACGGCTGTTTATTGCTTGTTTTGAAAGTACATCAGGATGGTCTGGTCATTCCCCAGCACGTTCTGCTTCTTACGGGGGCGGCCACCCTCCTTGTCTTTGGGAGCGAGACCACTTGGAGGCAATGGCGCACCAGGCGCTCTCTTGGTACGGCCGGCGGTCACGGTCGTGCTGGCGGGATCGACATCGTCGTCCTCATCATCGCTCCCAGCGTCGCCCTCCGGCAGGACAGGGTAGTACCAGCGATGCTCCCAGAAAAAAAACCTTAAACTATGCCCGGCCCACCAATATTTTGCGGTGACCCGGGCTACCGCCAATCGATTCATTTGTAGTGTTCTTCACGGAGGCACACACTTGAACTGGGAGGCAACACGTTTATTATAACAACCCAACAGGGTAACTACATAACACACACTTAGTTAACTAGACTCCAACAGGGTAACTGCATAACACACACTTAGTTAACTAGACCCCAACAGGGTAACTACATAACACACACTTAGTTAACTAGACCCCAACAGGGTAACTACATAACACACACTTAGTTAACTAGACCCCAACAGGGTAACTACATAACACACACTTAGTTAACTAGACCCCAACAGGGTAACTACATAACACACACTTAGTTAACTAGACCCCAACAGGGTAACTACATAACACACACTTAGTTAACTAGACCCCAACAGGGTAACTGCATAACACACACTTAGTTAACTAGACCCCAACAGGGTAACTACATAACACACACTTAGTTAACTAGACCCCAACAGGGTAACTGCATAACACACACTTAGTTAACTAGACCCCAACAGGGTAACTACATAACACACACTTAGTTAACTAGACCCCAACAGGGTAACTACATAACACACACTTAGTTAACTAGACCCCAACAGGGTAACTACATAACACACACTTAGTTAACTAGACCCCAACAGGGTAACTACATAACACGCACTTAGTTAACTAGACCCCAACAGGGTAACTACATAACACACACTTAGTTAACTAGACCCCAACAGGGTAACTACATAACACACACTTAGTTAACTAGACCCCAACAGGGTAACTGCATAACACACACTTAGTTAACTAGACCCCAACAGGGTAACTACATAACACACACTTAGTTAACTAGACCCCAACAGGGTAACTGCATAACACACACTTAGTTAACTAGACCCCAACAGGGTAACTACATAACACACACTTAGTTAACTAGACCCCAACAGGGTAACTACATAACACACACTTAGTTAACTAGACCCCAACAGGGTAACTACATAACACACACTTAGTTAACTAGACCCCAACAGGGTAACTGCATAACACACACTTAGTTAACTAGACCCCAACAGGGTAACTACATAACACACACTTAGTTAACTAGACCCCAACAGGGTAACTACATAACACACACTTAGTTAACTAGACCCCAACAGGGTAACTACATAACACACACTTAGTTAACTAGACCCCAACAGGGTAACTGCATAACACACACTTAGTTAACTAGACCCCAACAGGGTAACTACATAACACACACTTAGTTAACTAGACCCCAACAGGGTAACTACATAACACACACTTAGTTAACTAGACCCCAACAGGGTAACTACATAACACACACTTAGTTAATTAGACCCCAACAGGGTAACTACATAACACACACTTAGTTAACTAGACCCCAACAGGGTAACTACATAACACGCACTTAGTTAACTAGACCCCAACAGGGTAACTACATAACACACACTTAGTTAACTAGACCCCAACAGGGTAACTACATAACACACACTTAGTTAACTAGACCCCAACAGGGTAACTACATAACCGGGTCAGACAGGAACGTACTGCCTGACCCAGAATGTCGAACATGACGATCGAAGATTGGAGAGACGTAGCCCGGCGGGTTGATTCCAAGAGACAGCCCTGATCCGGGCTCGGGACTCTGCCTCTATGGGCTGCGGAGTGGCCGGGCTCCGCCCTTGGCTATGCCCCCTTCCAGATCCTTTCTGAAGACTGGCCCCTACATCACGTGTCCCTCTCCCCTCCTTTTGGGCCCCCCCCCCTTGCCACCTCGTCCAGTCACGTGCCCTCTTGGGGTCACCCAGACTGTCACGTCCTCACTCGACCTCTCTCTTACTGTCACCAGGACTATGCCCCCTAGGTCCCGCTTCCGTGGCATACCCACCCACTCTGGTGCCCGAGAGAGGCCCAAGACACACAGCTCCACTCTTGTGACGGTAGCTGGCGCTAAACGCCATGGTGACTCCATTTATGTCACTACACATTTACACTTACAGACTCATAGTTAATAATACACTTGTCTTGACTGGGAATGTCACTGTGTGGTGCCGGGCCTGCGAGGATGTTTCTGTTGTGTGTACACTCCGGACACGGGGTGTAGTACCAGCCCTAGTGGGGGCTTGGGTGGGTGCTGGTTAAGCGTGGTGGCACCACGCACAGCGTGCGGTGCAGGCTCTTGTTGAGAGAGCGAGAGAGTGTCAACCAGCTAGGGTTATGTTGGGGGCATGATACTCTGTCTGACCTGAAGACATGTGACCGGATGATACTGGAGGGGGGCCACCAGTGGAGGGGGCCAATGGGTGGTCACATGGTCCGGGAAGAACTCTCGAGAGCCTTCGGGCAAGGGCGAAAGAGATCGAGAAGGTGGGCGGGGTGAGAGGCGGAGCCAGCCTGAGCCCGGCCTGATATAAGGGGGGCCCTGTGAGGAACTCGGGGTTCTTACTGTTGGAGAGGCAGGAGATCCACATCAAACTTTAAGAAACCTCCAGCCACGCGGTCCGGGACCCAGCTTGTCGTCCGGACCGGGATAGCGGAACCGTGTCTAGTTCCGCCGTAGAATGGTTAATTAGGTGGTCACCACCCCACAGTATGTTGTGGTAATAGCCTTGAATATGTTATGCAAATAGTTTAATAAAACGTGTTGCTCCCTAAGACAACGTTTGCGACTCAGTTGGACTCACTACACACTCACACAGACCCATACATAATAATACACACAGACCTATAGATAAAATTACACTCATAGACCCATTTACTACTATATTTACCCAAGAATGTCAGTGTGTAACGCGCGTGACGTCATTCCACGTCGACCAGCCCCCCTCATTAATACTCTTTGGTTCTTTCGGTAAAGTCACGTAGGTATAAAATAAAATGAATCACGACGTTTTGGGAGCAACACAAGCATCCATCTTCAGGTGGGAAAGCATGGTCTGCTGCTGAGGCAGACTGTTTTAAAAGGTTTGAAATGGGTGTAGCTCAAGGGTCATAAAGAAGTAGCCAGAGCTAGTGATGTTAATGTGAGAAATTAGCATGTAAAAGTAAGCTAGGAGAGCATCCTAGACAAGGGCATGGAAGTGGCTATGTTAATGTGAGGGATTAGCATGATGTTAATGTGAGAAATTAGCATGTAACTGTAGAAAAGAAGAAGAAGAAGAGCGACCTCCTTGACGAGGGAGTGCAACCCAATGGGTTTTAATCCAAAGGGCCTGTGAGTATGAGAGTGCAATCCAAAAGACATGTGAGCATGAGAGTGCAATCCAAAGGCATGAGAGTGCAATGTAATGGACATGTGAGCATGAGAGATCTAAGAGAGAGGCATAGAGAGAGAGACACAGAGAGTCAAAGTAACAGCCGACATAGGCAGGTTGGATGGAAACATCACAGTCAATTAAGACTTTACCAGGTTAATAACGTCATTCCAATGATTGCTCAGTTTGTACTCATCCTCTCGGTTGAAGTTGTGTTTGTGTTTATATATCTGGATGGCTTCATAAACAAATCTTTGAAGGTAGCCGGTAGGTTTGCAGAGTACCTCCGTCTTGGAAAAATCAATTTCGTTTGAGCCCACAGCATTAAATCAATGATCATCAATGGCAGAGGTATTGGTCCTACCGTGTTTTAGATCTGCCTTGTGTTCATGGACGCGGTCCGAGACATGTCGTTTCATTTCCCCAATGTAACTGCTGCCACAACCACAGCTCGGTTTGTAGACACCAGGGTATTGCATGTCAGGAATCATA